TGATGGGCAAAGGGGGGGCAAAGGGGGGGCAAAGGGGGGGCAAAAAGAGAGAGAGAGAGAGAGAGAGAGAAAGAGAGAAAAGACAAGCAGATTTCTCACTACATGTATTTAATATTATGTTGTTTCCTGATGAAAACCCTTAGCAAGTGGGAGTATGCAGGGAGACATTGAGATTTACATAAATCTGAGACAGAAATACGCTGTTAGGCTAAGTCCATTGCACTGCAAGGTTGGGATTGAGTCTTCCAGTGGAAGTTACATCAGCCTTCAGACAGACACAGTGCTCAGGCAAAGTTCGTAACTTAACTTCACAATATTTTCTTAAAGCCAGTCTACTGCCCTCTCCTTTATACCATTAGCACAATATTTCAAGGTTATAGATGCATCACATGTAAACTCTAAGTTATTCTTTTACCTTGGTTTTAAACAACTAAAACATCCATCAGTCCATTGTCGTATAAATTTCAAATATGACTACGTGCCATTTCTGATAACCTGATTTTGACCCCTCTTTTAAAGGGAACAGTACACATACCACAGCAACCCTCAGCAGTTATAATTCAATACAAAACTACACAAAATTTAAAAAATGGATAATGTCATTTACTTGAAAGCTCTGTTAGACTCATCTTGATATAAGCGCATCATCATACAGTAGAATAGGTAATGAGTACTTACGAGGTTTTTTTTTTCCCCCATTATGGCCAGTAAATTCAAATTTTAATAACTATTTCATAAGAAACTTCATCTGCTAAAGACCTGGGTGAAGCCTAAGCCCCTCACCAGAAGATACCAGGATTCTCAGCTTGGCAAATGCAGAAGAGATTTAAAAGAATCATCCATTTGCTTTTTTGGCACAAAACCCCCAATGCTCCATGAGCAATTTCTGTGCATAAGAGATCCAGGATAGAAATAGCAAGGAGAACACCCAGTAATGCTTGTTGAAAAGTTTACTGAAAGGACAGATAGAAACTGGCAGAGCAAAATTCGAAGGTGCAACCACAGTTTTCACATCAAGACGACTCCTTCGCAAGGCGTATTCTTTCGGCCATTCCTAAATTTTTATGGGTTACAATTTAACCTCCCTTTGAGGGAGAGGGCAGGGGGTGAAAAAAAAAAAAAAAGACATTCAGATTTTAGGAGAAATTCGTAAGATCAAAGTATGAAGAATTTGGAGGCTGTAATAAAAAAACAACAGATGGCTAAAGAGTGAATGCACGCCCCAGTTCACTTCTGGGCCCCTGGTACCATTCCCAAGACAGTGACGCCAGCAGAGCCCCTCCAGTGAATTACAGCCCCGCAAACACTCAAGGGTCACGTATTATCCTACACGTGCTGAAGATGAGATGTCTTGCACAGACAGTGGTTACACACCAACACAACACTCAAACTGCAGCTATTCCCTACATATGTGCACACATCCCGTCATACCTACTGGATTCAAAGATAATGACTGTTTTTCAATTTTATTTTTTTTTTCCAACCAGATAACAGCCAAACTACTTCAGCTGCAAGAAAGAGCTTAGTTTTAAAAATGTAAATGTCAGAAGGAAGCAATCAGAGAGGAATGAGAATGACCAAAAGTTTAGAAAACGTTGCCCAAGAATAAATGATGACGCATATGGAAACATGATAATCCACATATGAAACAACGAGGCAGATGAAGACATTATACTATTTTCTGTGTTAATGAGGAAAGGACAAACATTACTGAAAAAAATTAACAGGAGAGATTCAGATTAGGCAGTAAGGAAAACTTTCCACCTGTAACTAAAATTACCCCAAAACTGGAATAGCCTGCATAAAGAGGTTGTGGGATCTCCGCTGCAGAAATGTAGAGCTGAGGTCAGAAAAGTACCTCTCAGGATATGGTTTAGATTTAGTTAGGTCTACCTTGAGGTAGAATGATGGACTAAATGACCTCCTGAGCTGCTTTTCAGCCCTATTTTCTATGGTTTTTCTATTCTATTAAAAACATGTGAAATTTCCCTTAGCTCTTTTCCTTAAAAGGAAGGAGGGTAATTCAAGAGACACGGTATCTCCAGAGCATAGCCCTTATTAATTAACCTCATAACGTAACCTGCAGTAACACCGCGCAATGTTGTGTACCCCCTCCAGTGCCTGTCCTACATAAGAGCATTTTCCGGCCACAGAATTTAGAGCTTGATCACTAAGATATTGGCGTGTCCTAACTCTCTCTGAAATCAATGGGAATTGAGGTAACTAATTAAGAATTGTAATCAGGCCCTTAGTCGAAAGCAAGAGAAAGGCATGCTTTTAGAATCAGATTAGTTACTTAACCATTCAAAACAGGCACCGAGTAATATATTGACTGCTGGTGAAAGAGGCGGTTTTTTTGTCAGGTCCAGAGCCTGCTCTCTCTCACATTTCCACTTAACACCTAAGGAAAGAGAAGCCCACTCTCTATCAAAGCCAAATCTATCAGGCATTTACACGGGTGATAACATTTTCTCCTTGTTCCTCAGTCAGGGTTGCTCGTTTATGGCTGTAAAAAGATGCAAGGCTGAAGAACTAGCCCTTTTACATCTGTTTGTAAAAAATTATTCTGTAATGATTTCAGTTCTTCTAAGCCTTCTCTGCCCTATTTAAAAAAAAAAAAAAAAAAATCATCTTTTTCCTAGGCAAGCATCTCCCATGTAGACAGATCTTTAGGTACATTATACTGGCAGCCTCTTGCTTGAGCAATACTCTTTGGTTACCCACTGTTCTCATCCCAGCCAGTAATAATCAGAACTGAGAGACTTAATTACTGTACCTTTCAATAAGGCTTTAATTTTATTTTTGTTCTTTCTACTGCAAATGCCCATGAATCAGAGGGTCACTTTAAGCACAGAATTCAATTTAATTATACTCACAGGCATTTTTATCATTAAACAGGTCAACTTATTAAAAAAAAAAAAAAGAATAATCTTTATTATGAATAATGGAAAGCCTGGCAGGCAATCCAGAAGAGTTTCACTCTGAAAGCTCTCACATCCATTTGTTTAGATTTGTTTACTAAGCACTGGTCAAGGTCCCACTGAATGAACATGACAGCATTAACTGAAACTATATCTAATTGGAAGTCGACCTTAATGCTGACTTATTGACATGTTTTCATGGGAATATTTACCAGTATTTGTAAACTGGACCTTTGTCTGCTAATAAAAGCAAAGAATGAGAAAACCAACACAAAAGGTCATTGACTGAGAATATCTGGCAAAATTCTTCCCAAGTTGCAGAATTATTTCATACAATCAGATCCATTCTTCAGACAGGATAGGATTCTTTTTCAGGTAGGACGCTCTTTTAATTACATGCCAGGGAGGATGTCTCTGATGGACTATCCTCATGTGAACTAGAGCTAAGAAGAAATATCCATGCTGTTCATGAAAGACTTGATATGCAAAGTAGAAGACAGTAAAAATTCTGGAGAAAAAACGTTTTGGATAGCAGAGAACAGAAGAGGTCTCCTGGAAAGCTGTTTTCATGTGTGGCTGTTACACCTTGGTACTTAGCTTGGATCTTTTCAAGGCAGTATTTTTGCATATTTTCGCTCTATTCTGTATGCAACTATGCGTAACATGATTTCTGTATGCTATTTATAAGCCCAAGTGGTCAAGTAATTATATATACTGTGTATTTTATATATCCCTTTCTTTTATGCTCCCCATTTTCATAAACTTTTTGTTTTGTAATAAACAGGCCTACAACTTATTTATTTAATTAACTATATGGTCAATACTAATTTGAAAACTAGCTGTTATTTTTAACCGTTTGCTGTATGCATTAAAAAGCATTAATTCAGTTATTATCAGCTAAAGTCTTAAAAAGATAATCACACAAGAAGTTACAAGTTTTTACTGATTTCAATTACAAAACCTGTTTACTTTCATCTTTATGTCCTCATGACACAGAAAGGAAATCAAGCTGCAGTGATGAAAAGCTATTACAAAGAATTACCTTAAAGGACCCTGACTGCAAAGCCAATTCCCTGTACTTGAAGACCATATGGAACACTTTTCTAGTTCATCCAGGATTACTTCAGAGTACTGATAACAGATAACCACAAACACACATATATCTAAAAAGGAAAAACTAGAAGCAATTTCTGTTCCTGGAAAAAGTTGCATTTTCCTGCTTCACTAAGGCATCCAGATACAATAAGAGTAGTAGCTCTCAGCATCCAGAAAGACAACGTGGCATTACCATGACCCTGAATTCTCATGTTTCATTTTCAATTTCCTTTTCTACATAAAAGTAAACATCACATACTTACAGCATTACAAAACTGTCAGAACTACACACACTTAGGCAGAAACAGGACCATGTGGATTTTGTTTGACATGAATTGTTGCTTATCATCCAAGTGGTAGCTGATTTCAGAAGTTCATAGGTGCTAAGATAGGATTTTAGCAGAGAGAACTGATGCAACATACTCTTCCTATAAATACAGAAGTTTATTCAAACAAGGATATACCCAGTCACACGAATGTCCTTCTCAAATCAGTTGCTGATGTTACTTCCTTTGCAGCTACTATCTCATGTCCTCAGGTGTCTCCTCTGACAGCTACATAACATTCCCCTTCAGCTGATATCATTACTATCTTGTCCAGACTGGAAAGAGCAGATCTGCTTGTAACAAGTTCATCTACTGCTCTCTGGCGATCTATTTTTGCTCAGATGATTCAACTTAGTATGTTCCTACAGTGTGCAAGGCTGACCTAAGTTCTTTTGAGTTATGACCTAAGGAATAACATTACTTTTATTAGTCACAAAAATTTCCAAGATCAAGTTTCATAGGGAAACAAACATGAAGTTCAATGAAAAAAAAACAGTAAAAATACACAAACTTGTTTCTGCAATATAAGTTACAATGAAGCATCACTAAAATATGCTTAATTGTCTCCAATTAGGTCTCATACGGGTTACATTAATTCTTCAGGTATTAGATATTTGTTCATTGTATGTTTTGACACAATAGCAGGGATATTTCAAATTCTAACTTAGAATTAAAAAAAAAAAAAATAAGGCTCCTTATACTTCCCATAAATTGAAAGACTGGAATTATTTAATCAGCCCAAGTGAGACTGAATTTGCAAATTTAGCAGCATATAACAAATTACCTTTACTTCAATCAATGGATACCTTAGGTTTATCCCTCAATTATTTCAGAACCACATTTTTATCAGCAAAATCGCTTTCAAGCAGATCAAGCTTCCTTTGAAAATTCTGAAAGATAATATTACACTTTGCTATCCACAGGTTCTGACCATTCTTGCAAACAGAACATCCAAGGAACCTTTTGATACCTATTCATTCCTCGTCTCAGTTACAGTGGTACAGCACTTGGACATCTAACTGGAATTCTCTACATGAATTTGTCATCTTTTTTTGTTACCATTTTTACAAAATCCTGAGGTAGCTTCAGAAATAAGGTCATCACAAAGAAATTACTCTGTATGAAAAAAAACAGAACACCACTTGGCTCTTGCGCTACCTCCTCACTCTCCTCGCACACTGCTCTTCCCTTCTGCATCTGCCCCCATGCAACTCCTCTGCTCATGCACTGTTCCTCCTGCAACTCCATGTATTAGCCTGCCAAGTGACAGTGACTTGAATCCTAATCATGTCTTCTTTGTCACTCAGCACTTCCGAGGACAGTATTCCTGTCACCTCTGTGCTAGTGAGCGAGCATACAAAGTAAAGCAGCTTGGAGGCACAATACGCAGGCTGAACAGGATAAAGGAGCCACAAAAGCAAAGCCCAAGCAATGGATGGTGGTAACAGCAGCGTGGCGGTGACTGGAAATGAACAGCTTGCTTAACGCACAACCCTCAGGGGCAATGCTTTT